AATCGTATGAAAAGTCCCGTCAGTCTTTGTTTAAAGTTTTGTGGACGACCTAGGCAAAAAGTCCTTCAAAGCTTTTTTCAAGCCAAAAATGAGCTCTTTCACTAAGGAAGCTTATTTTAGGATGAATTCAAAGATTTTGAATATAAACTGATCTGTGCATGAATAATAATAATGTGGTCATAAGTTAGTAGTCATTATAAATGACAATTAATAGCATATCTAATCATAATACAAGCAGGGAATTCTATAACTTCCTTTTATAAGATATGAAGACTTGGAATCAGCGTTTAAAGCTGGATTCACTTATTCTCACCTCATTGCAGACAGCCACTGAGTAGATTCCATGTCAATTCTTACTTCTTGTTCTCCTCAATACCTGAAACATTATATAGCACCTGTTCCTCAAGTAACTTCACCTAATATGATGAAGAACGAATCATATTGGCAGGTGTTTACTCTCCAGAAATTTAAGTATTTTGGTTTGAAACTTGTAGCTGGGATTCTGATGCGGGGATTCTGAGATCTAATAACATATCCCGGCACCTGGAGTAAAGTTCCTTTAAATCACTGTGAAACTAATGTTTATTTCTCCACACATCCCAAGCCTTTGACATAATCAACACAGGAAATATGCGTGCTCTCCTAAGATCTATAAACATACTTTATTTCATGAAATTTCTTAGGCTCTTAAAGTATTCTTTAATCTTCATTACATGTAATTGTTTAATAAAAATTCCGGCAAAATTGGCTCCAAAATTATTGATTGGCTGTCAACATGTATCATTCAAAATTTTTTAGATTATCTTAGAGAAGGTCACACAAAAACATGTTTCCCTCTGATAGCACAATGCAGGTGTTAAAAGTGGCAGCTGTGACAGCTGTTAACACCATAGAATGTGTGAAAGAGAGGCAATGGTTAAACTGAAAATTGCTACAGTTTGAGGGGATTTTGAACATTATTTGTTTACAGCTGATGACGCTTCCACTAGCATCCTGTCACACTCTCTCAATCTGCTCGGCTTGCATTTCGTCACCCGATCCGATGTGCCAATGGTGTCCAGCCACGGGGAAGTGCAGCGCAGCGGTACATTGCCCTTCGGCAACGGTATAGCAGCTCTTCATCAACACCATGACCTACATTGGCGAAAGTTGGGTAATTCAGGTAAACGTATGTCCGGAACAAAATGGACCGCCATCACCTGCATCGATGACTATCGACGATGCACGAAATATATCACTTCCCATCAAACATCTGCCTCAACCCGATGGATTTGTGAGTGCACATCATTTTTTTTCCTATCTTGAGAGCATAATAATTTCAAAAGAGCGTTTTGATATGAGAATTTGAGAGAGAGGGAAAGAGAAAGGGGCAGTGAGTGCTGAGATAGACGGTTATAGCAAATTCAGCTAATTTCGAAAATAAGCACATTTTTGCGGAATTTAAATATCGGTTATTGTCTAATGATGAACAGAA